TGGTGGTATCATCTTTAAAATCCTTCTGAAGGTCACCATGGAAACCGCCTGCTGAGGCTTCGCTGCTGCACTCGGCATCTCCTAATCAGCTACCATGTGAAATGCAAATTCAGACAGTCTGAAAATTAGTCAAGAAGAATAGAGGATGAGGATGCAGATATGTGAAATATTCATGCGCTTCATGGAAAAAGGAAGACAGCATGAATGACACAACAAAGAACGGCCCCTGACATTCTTGCTATCATTTTGCATTATTGTTCACACCCTACTGTATTTCCAGGCCTCCAGTTCTGAAGTTGGTTATATGAACTGCCATATTTATAGTCTACAATAAACAATAATTAAAAATGGCCCAGGTAAAATGACTAATTGGAAAACGCACAAAGAGGTATAGTGCATAAATTACACAATAGATCATTGTTTCATCCTTTGTAATGTCACTGAATTATCTTTTTAAGTCCTTCCCCCTCTCCCCCCCCAAGGGGGAAAATTGTGACTATAAATAGAAGACAATACTGGGCTGTAATCTTTTACTAATAGTTCAATCACTGTCTTTGAATGTAAAAAAATTTAAGGTTCAGATTTACAACCCCTACTCTAGAAGTGAAATTGCCCAATGCTTTATGTTTATTAAAAGTATTTCAGTGCTCGTGTTTATTTGCGTTTTCAAAGTAATCTTTAATTCATGTAGGCTGAATTCAATTAGAATTGGTTACTAATACATGTTCTTTGGTTTACAGCTTCTATCAGTTTGCCCTGTTCTTTTCAAAGTGGGAAAGTATTTCAAAACTGGCATCTCGGAACATTAACAAGCAAGCATTTATATTTTTTTCATTCTTTTACTTGCACTTTTATTTAGTTTGTTTTCATTTTAGAGCTTAAAAAAGAAAGTACACCCCCTTAAATGCATTAATGACAGTAAAGAAACGTTACCTATCAGCTTAAAACAAACGCTACTGCGATATGCATGAGTATATTGCTCAAATTCAATTATATTATGTCTACCCATATTTCTCTGAAATTTACTATTAGTGTTGTCAAGAACCACTCTTGCAAAAGAGCTGCCGTTCAGTTGTATCAAATGGCACATGGCAGTTTTATAATGCGGACAAATGGGAAATAAACAATTCATTTTTACTAGTGAGTTACACTATATCTATTTTAATGCGAGCCCCTAGAGAAACAAGGCTGGTGCACTAATTTACTGTGCAACATAAACTTGTGTAGCTGTGCTTTTAGCAAAGTATACTATAGATGTAAGACTCAATCCCATTCTGGCATGTAGAACATATCGTTGTGCATTCTGTGAAAGCATTTTGTCATACTTGCAAAGAAGCTCAGTGAAATTAAGAAGCTAACAGTACGAGGTTTCCATCATTAATCCCCCTAAATTTAAAATCATATCAGAGACTTGTTTTGACAGGAACATTTGAGCTAGTTCAACAAGCAAACACTTATGGCCATAATCTGCAATACCATAAAGTCACACAAGTTCATTTACTTCCCTGGAAGTGTGCCAGCTTACCTAAACTGAGAATCTAGCCCATGAATAGGAAAATTACTTACTTCCTCTGAATAGTGATCTGAAGGGAGAGGTGGGTAGTCACACTGTTCTATCTTCTTGCACAGGGAGTACAAGTTCATTTTATCACCATAAAAGGGACTCTGCAGTGCAGCCATCTGTTTAAAGAAAATGTACAGTTTTCTTTTGTGTTTTTAAGTGACCCTGTTTTGTCATAAAATAACACTAACAAATCAAAAGTGATTTTTAACAAGTTTCGATTCCCTGCTTAATGTGTCACAGTGCTAAAAACCTAAGTTCCAAAACTATTACTGTAACCAGTAATACGTATACTTATTCTATGATGTACAGTCGTACCTGTCACAATCCTTACATTGCAATCTTTAAATTAAAACCATAACAGTTTTATTAATAGACAATGAGAAAATTGAGTAGTTTCCGATACCGCTGTGCACGTGGACGGTCCTTGCACCACAAGGGGGGGGGCGGTGTGTGTGTGGAGGAAAAAAACCCACCACCAAAAACCCACAATGCAATTTTCCTCTGAAGACCTTTTGGGAAAAAAAACCCATATAATTTATTTGAAAACACTATCTGATCTAAAGCAATATCATATAGTGAAAATGCTGAATAACAGCAGTAGGTTTTGTAACCTTCCATAGACTTCGATAAATAGGGGGGGGGTTCAGCAAGAAAAGTAAACATAACATCTATGTTTCCAAAAAAACCCAAACCCCAAAACTTCATAATTCAATGTTATTCAAAAATACTTTAAAAAAGGAATATCCCAAAAAAGTCATCAGAAGTGCAGAACTGGCACCTATGTCTATATTTTACAATTGTAATACAAAAATAAGAGTATCCGTTGGAGAGCACTTAAATAAATGGTCAGCTTAAGACCAGCATTAGTAAACCTATGCTTTATTTCCAGACAATGTTACAACTTGACGTTTAAGGTGGAAACAAATGCTATGGTTAGCAGGATTACAAATTTAAAAATTCATTTAAAATCTCTCCATTCTGTTCAAAGCCTTCGAAGTCTTTGAACCGCAGCAGCGCGAACGCTGCTTTGAGTGCAGTGCTGCCCCAAAGTCAGTCACCCTTTTCTACATGTGCTAATAAGTTTGATTTTGGAAGGACAATGTGTACATTCCCCAGACAGGCAGAGTGTGTGTGAAACACGCTAGTCCATGCTGTGCTACTCAGTGAGCTTCAGCAGGGACAGGACAAGCTGAAAATGGCTCTCATCTGTCTTGTGGTCTTCCAGAGAGTAGTTTAACTCTTTCATGTCTAAGCACCGGTATCACTGGGGGAAAACGTACAAATAAAATTACCAAAATTCTCTTACATTTACTTTCTATCTGATAAAAATTCTCTCAAATAGTTCAGTACTTTTTCATATTACCTTCAAGTAAGAATAAATAATTTTAAAACTCACAAAACAAATACCATACTACAGTTCCATCCTATGCTCCTCCCAAAAATTCTGTAACTCTATTACCAAAATCATGTTAATTTTTTGGATTTACATGACATTGTCTCTTACCTTAAAAAGAATGTTAAAAATGCAAGCTAAAGACCAAAAAAGAAAAGAAAGGGAAAAAAAAAAGAAAAATCAACTGCAGAATCCGCACACATGCAGAAATTCTAAATAAATGCACGGATACTCATTTTCGTACTCTAGGTGTTCATTAAAAAGTACTTTTGTTTGAATGCTGCGGAGTGCTAAAAAAATTCTGAATGTCCCCTAAGGAGTTAAAACAGGAATACTATATTTTCATGCATCTCCTGCTTTGACAGATGAAAAATGTCAACTGTCCTGTTTTTATTTTCAAGCTTTTGCACTATTCATCTGGTTCATTAGTGCATCTCGCTGCTGCCCCTGACAGCTGCTCGCCCTCTCCTCCCAGCAGCTGAATTTTTCAGGCTAATTTGATCCTCCACACTGAGACGATCGCTAGAATGATTGACTTGCTCCCTGACCTCCAGGGTCTGACTTTCCTGATTAGTATTCTGGGGGTGTCTGAGGGACGAAAGCCCACTGTCTGTCTTCGGGGCTGGTGGCAGCTCGCTCGCTCTCTTTTTTTTTTTTTTGAACTGTAAGCCACCAACCTACAACCCTGTAAGGATGCAATTGCTACGCTGAACAATAAAAGGAAATGTGTAAAACCTACTTTTCCATGTAAAGGTCCATGTAGCAAAAGCACAGCATCTTGATTTTAATTAGTAAAGTCTACTTTGTTGCATATCAATTAAAACTCCAGTGGTAGTGTTTTTGAGGTTTCAGAAATACCTGGGGCTCTAAAACAATCAGACTTTAAAATAGACTTTTAAAAATCTTACCGGACACATAATTAGCACTTAATAATAGACTGTGATATAGGTTAGAAATAATAATTTTTAAAAACAACATACATTATAGCAAATTAGTCTAAACTTAAATTAAAACATAACTGAAAAGACTTTAGCAGCAATTAAGTATTTATTGAGAGGTGATAAACATGCCACAGCTTTTCTCCAATTAAGCTGGAAAGAATCCAGAGCATATATGAGCACAAAACAACATGAAATCAATATAATAAAACACGCTAAAGTGCAGGCAATAGATGTATCACAGAAAGATATCCAGCACAAAACTGCACAGATAATAAAACCACCATGCATTAGTCCACACATGTCTTGGAAAACCTTAAGTAACCGTTTTCAAATAATTAAAAACAACAACAACAAAAAAAAGGAGAAGAATGGTAAGCATATATTTTGAGTTTACTATACCTAAAGTTTCAAAATTACTTCTCAATGATCAACAAAAAAAAAAAACAAACAAGAAAAACCATCTGGTATGTTGTAGAACTAAATCGGATAAATGCACCTCTAAAAAAAAAAGCTATAGTTAAAGACATTGCCATATACTATAGCTATATATCAACGATAAGTATCCTAATAATTACGTTTTTACAATAAGGAAAAAAAAACCCAAACACAACACAGTATCAACTTAAATACCATCCTGGTAAAACTTCCAAAATAGATAAAAAGATGAACGGTGTTTAAAGATGCTGACTTAATCAAAGGAATTAAGATATTTAGCTATTTTGAAATTATTTTGAATTATCAAAGGAAAATTTAATATTCACATAGGTGTTTAATACACTGTACCAGAATCAAAGCAGCAAGCTCAAAAAAAAAACTCTTTAGGAAAGTACTATGCATTTCTATCCAGCAATTTTATTTTATATAACATTGAAGAAAAATTAACCTTAAAGCATGTTTATTTTATATAATAATTAATTAATCAATCAAGGGTTTTATTTGCTCCTTTCCAGATTTAAAAAATCCTCAAGAAAACCAATGGGAGGAAAAGAAGTAGGAATACTGAAAAACCCTCATCTACCTTTATACTACTATCTTTAGGCTCCTGCTTGCACAAGTGTGTACAGCAGAGCATTGAAATTGATAGCAGTTGCCATGGTCAGTCCTGTGGAATCCAAATACGGGATTAAGTTTCAGTTCAGGATTTAAACTTCTAAATACTTGCTATCAGGTCTCGGACTTCATTCCTGTGAATTGTCCCAAAGATTTGATTTAGAAGCAACAGCTATACATAGATCTGCAAACTCTGAAGAACTACAGTATAGCTATTTGCCCTTTTAATATTTAAAGCAATATGTTAGCGATAGAAAGTAAACTAATATTACTGGACACAATACACCTAGTAGTAACATACAACTTTAACAGGCTGACAATGTTTTCTACAAAATCCTAAAATAACAGGAGGTACCGATGCTGTTGAATACGTGTTAAATGAGTTCTGCTGACTCACTGAGGTAGGTGGCTTGCAGGTAAATGAAAAGTGAGTTGGGTATATTAGTTTTTATCTGGAACATGACTGGAAAGACTTCACTGCCATTGCTAATGGAAAGAAATTTTTTCCAGCATCCTTCAACACAAGTGTCTTTCGATCAACAAATGATATGCAAATAATTTTGAAGATGTAGTTGCCTTAGAAGCCTACCTGTTCTTCACACCTTCATTTGCCTCAACTGCAATTTGCCCTATGTCTTTATTTTCTCAGAATACAGTATTATTGAAAGTTATGTCAGCTACGAATCTCAACCATATTAATACAGAAATTAACCAATAATTATAGTTTAATCAATTGGAGGAGAAGAGTAGAAAAATTGCATGTGTCTGTGCAGCAAAAGTCATTATCTTGAAAGTTAGTCCAAGCTAGCAGTAATAATTACACAGTAACCCTTTTTTTTAAATTGTTTTACTTAGGCTTTAAATAATTTTAAAGAAATTAAACTTGTATTAAAATAACTGTATTGCAGGTTTTGAAAGCCTTAGCTGCATACTCAAGTCAGTTCTACTATTTCTTAATGCATTCACTACAAAAAATAATATAATCAAAGGCCGTAAAAGCCACCTAGAACAATTTTACAATGTGCTTGCCGTTATTCATTTATTAATCCTTCAGTATGCCCAATCTTCAACAAATTGTTGTAAAATCCTTGTAGCAAGCTTGTAAGAAGCAGGTCTTAAGTAACACACAAATAAAACTATTTCATATGCTGAAGTTATGTACGAGTTCTCATTGCTAATATTAAAGACAGACCTATAATAGCTGAGAAGTAGCTTTTCCAGTGCCACATACTTTTCTAAACAACAAAAATAGATACTAAAACAGTACTTAACACTATTGTGCTCGCCCGGCAATGTATTAAGTTCACTGTATATATCAATATTACCTCATACAGCAGACAGCCTAGAGACCAGATGTCAGATTTGAAGTTGTAACCATTTTCGTGTATTCTCTCTGGAGACATATAATAAGGTGTACCAACTGCAATAAATACACAGGTATTTTTGAATGAAAATTTCTGTTGTTATATAGTAGTAAAAGTACAGTTTTCCTGGCTGAAAAACATTTTTCATCTTTTATATTTCTCATTTTGCTACACGTGTAATTTCAATTCATACTTGTACTCTTTGGTTTGATAGAAATACACATTAATTAGATATCTATTTCATCCAGTGCAGCTTTATTTTCACTACTGATATCTAATTACCAAAATTATCCAGTTGTAGAATGCCTCCCATTTTTGCTTTTAAAGAAGCTCAAAAGTAATTATTTTCTTCTGAAGAAAACCAAGGGAATGTACTACATGCACACATACACATATAACCCCACTCCTTTCCAAACTGTTATCACTGTCGCTGGAAGTAACAGCAGCTAGAAATTCTCTTCTATGGCTTGAAATACTTTTTTTTTAATGAGTTATTTATATATTCTCAAAAGGAAGAACACACATGAAAAAAATGCTTTTTAAACTAATAAAGACAATTTAGTTTGAATATCTGAACCTGAAACTGAGCCTGAAATACAGGATCTTCAGCTTCCCAGAGAGGAAGGCAGGAAAACCTGCGAGCCCAGCAGAAGCCAAGGTTCCTGCGAGCGACTCGCCCATCTGCTGCAGGACTAGACTCCACGAGGGCTTTTCCGCTCCCAAATCTGAGGCTGTCCAGCTTAATCCTGCCTCGGAGCTGTAGGCTCTGGAGACATCTGCTCTTGAAAAGCAGCATTTATTAGGACTGTCCCAGAGAAAATTTACATTGGATACTCCAGGACACCTCTCCCCTTGATTGTAATCAGATCTTACCCATCTGTGCCACAAGTTACTTGGAAGAGATAAATTCTGAGAGATGTTTCAGCTTTGTAAAAAAGCCATTAAAAAAAAAAAAGTATCTGAGTGATGGGTTCATATCAACAAAAAAATGACAAATCAACAAAAAAAGAAGTTACAAAAAAATAACGGTAGTGGCAACTTTGTTATATTGTCTCTGAATTTTCTCCCTATATCCCCCAAAATGACTGCCTAACAGCAAAAAGTCACAGATCCATGTAGATTTTTACTTCAATTTTGTGTGGAATATTTTAAGCACATATGACTCCTGATGATGAAAAGCAACTGAATTCTGTCAATTCAATACAAGTTGACTTTATTTCGAAACTAAACATCTTGCAACACAGCCAAAGATTAAAATCAGCACTCTCACTGCAAACTAAGAGAATTAGAGTATGAACCTTACACTACTTTATTTAACACAAAGATCTCGTATCACTCCTGCACTTCTGCATTAGCCTCATCTATTCAGAATTCATCTCTATGAATATTGGAAACAGAGATATAGTGAATACATAGGTAATTCCAAATCTGAATAATCAGGTTAATAGCTTTAATTAATCAGATTAATAATTTTACTCTAATAATTTCTAAAAATTAAGCATTTTGCTTTGACCATGTGCCCTATCTTTTAGAAAGGCTGACATCTCAAATGATGTCATACTTTAAGGGCCGGGAAGTACATTCCTACTTGATAGGCCCTGCTCGGACTGGGAATCCCAGTACCACCTTATCCCCGGTCAGGCCACTGCTGCTGGCAACCCAGGATTTCAGCTGATCTCCTTCTTGGCAAACAAAACGGAAAACAATATTCCAAACCAATATAAACCGAGAACGTGCTTCTCTACCAGATATGCAAGGTCCCACACTGCAGCCTACAATGGATTTGGCTCCTTAAAAATTTCAGGGGAGACTTCCAGCCCCAGGAAAGCAGAGGGTGTCGCAGCCCCCCTCCCCAGAGGCTGCCTTAGCACTGGCCTGAGGAATCGCTGCAGCTCTGAACTGAGACTGCAAAAGATCAAGAGCTTAAATGTAGAAAGGCTGGGGAAGGCAACCCAAAATGATGGAGTACTGTGAAAGCCATTTACTCTCATGGAATGTCCGTATTCACCCACAGCTGAGGAGTGGTCTCTTCCCTGTGAAAGAACAGGCACGCAGATGGGGGGACTGCAACACCAAAACAGCTACCAGAATATCCAGAAGCGACGCTGTTATTCTAATGCTTCAACAGCGGTACTTTAATCGGTGTTTAATGACAGCTATCGTAAAATTGGAAACTGTAATTAAACAATATTTGGCATGACACAGATTTCATATTTTTATTGTCCTTACTGTTGTACTTCCCCCTTGGAATTCCCCCCCGCCCTGAGGACTTAAGAGCTTGGACACCTCAGCTTTCAGCTGTATTTTGCATCCATTAATTAACACACTGACTTAGTATATTCTGATACTTTGTTGGCAGAATTCATCTAACAACAACAAATAAGTTGGAGTAGCCTGGTTCTTAGCTGGTTACAGCAGCGCTGCCTTTGCTGCTCTGAGACGCCAGGCAAGTAGCTGGCAGTGAGTAATGTGCCAGGAAGAGGCTTCACAGAACCCACAGGGGGCAGCTGAAAGCGCAGAGGTTTGAAGGTTCATAGTCTACCAACAGCAAAGGTAATTTTAACCAGTAGCTCTGGGAAGCCTGCTGATACATTAGGGGTCTGATACGACTGTGAAAGATTGATGATAGTGAAAAGGAAGAACAAATGCTACCACTTTACAGCGTTTAGCCTAGTGTAACACCTTAACTGCAATACAACCTGAAGCCCCCGATGACCAACAAGCAAAAGGAATTTAAATTACAGTTACGTTAGCCATTGAATCACAAGAACAACCTGGAGATGTAGACATCATTACTATTTGTTAACGGTTTTTAACAGAGCATGACACAAAACATTCATTACTCTGACATTCAGGAACTACTGAAGGCATTGCAACAATGCTTTAAAAGACTGAGAGTAATCTTGGTACATAGCACTGTACTGTTGGCACGCTACTACCAGATGTGATTATATATCATGTTTCCTTCCTGCATCATTATTTTTTCTGTTAAGTGAAATACAGCATCACAATACTATAAAGACATGCAACTTTACTCATCTAAAGACACAGAAGCGGGATAATACAAGACAAAGTTGTAATGCATTAGGGTGCCTATGTTTTTAAGAACAAAAATCTGTAACTTCAGCATTCTGTTCACTGCATTTGCACATCTCGGATAACCTGCAGGTCTGAACGGTAATCCCCTTGAAAATGGCCTGGGTCAGATAAACTGCTTCCTCAGAATTTGCTGCTGCTCTGGAGCTCCCTCCCTTTAAAGATGCTGCAGATCCAGAAAGTGTTTCTTTATGCAAGCTTTCTTTGGAGAGGCAAGGGACATAATGGAAATGGTGGTTATTAGGGGGTAGGAAGCTGGATCCAAAGGATCAGATGCAAAGAAACTATTATGAAGAAGGGAGTTATGATATCAACAGTCCATCTTATTACCTGCATAAACACGTAACTCACACTGCAGCTGAGTTAAAGAGGAGAGTGTGTTCACTTGAAAACCAACAATGCATCAAGGAGTTGAATGAAATGCAGTAACTAGCTCTAAGTACGGTCAAGCATTTTTAATCTGGAAGAAAAATCTGCCTGGAAAATGTTAATACTACTTATACAAAACAATGTAATGGCTGATTCAGAAGGTTTTTAACAGACTAGTTTTTAAAAACGCCATATAATTATTACTGACATTCCATGCATCGGAATACATAACTATCAGTGTTCTGGAAGGGGGCTAAAATCACTTTAGTAACTCTTCTAATTTTCGAAGAATTCTAAAACAAGATTTCATTTTAAGAGGCCCAATGTATTTAAGTAATCAGAAGATACAGTTTATGAATGACTTAATGTCCATGAGATCACAGGAGTTTTATAATACAGAGTTCAACACAACATGCAAGTGCTTAACAAGGTGAATGGTTGATGCTGAAGATAGACAAACCAAGTTACAAATAAGCTGCAGTTATGGAACTGTGAGTGTAACCAACTACTGACACGACAAATTCTCCCCAACTATAATTTTATTTTAATACAGGTGTAGGAGATTTCTAAGTCATAGGCTCGTCTTCAACCACAGATATGGGATCTAAAATACTGCACCTATCCAAAGTTAATTCTGTGACCTAGCCTACATTATACAAATAATCTAACTGAAGAAATCAGTCTATAAATATCTTTACTTATTTTATAATGTAGCATTGTAACAGCACAATAATTTATCCTCAGCTTTCAGACTACTGCAAGAGATCTCAGGTTTCTGTACATAAAATAAGAGCTGTTTTAATATAGCTGCTTTGATGACTGCAATTAATCAGCTGCAGCTTTGCCTGCTGGCCTTCCTTTACAGTGAGGGTGCAGGCTCTTCAGAACAGTTTGGTTGAGAGTATGAAAGTGGAGCTTATTCCACTCACAGCAAAATGATGCTGTGTACCACCACCTCAGCACTGGCTTGGACACTCTCTGCTGGGTTAGAGATCCATATGTAAGAGGAAAGGAGAGTATCTGCACACATTTTTACAAGGTATTTTACTCCCCAAAACCTGCATGAGTTCACAGTCAAATCCCTCATAACATAGCTCTGTGCTGGGGACAGGAGTACCATGGAAATGACAGAAGTTCTCAAACCACAGAAGAAACACCAGAATTCAATACAGATGATCCTCTGCTTTCAAGCATTTTAAGAAGATTGAAGGTCTGCTCCTTTGCCCTGCAAGAAGGTATTCACGTCATGGCAGCAGTGTCCGCCTGGACAGCACAGTGTGCAGCTCTCTAGCACAACCACAATGGAGAACTGAAATGATTTTTTTTTTTTTAATTGAAATATTAAAATATGGGCTATCCTTAAATCCACTGAAGCCTAACAAAAATTTTAAAAATGCACATTTCTATGAGCTGGCCTCAGAATTGCCATGTCAAAGAGGATAAGGCCTAGCATTCAGCCATTAAAACACAACAACAACAAAACCCTAACACACAGTGATAGGGAAAGGAATAAGAAGCCTTTCCTGGATCATCTTCCCCTTTCTAATATAAAGTCTTGTGAAACAAAGAAATGTTGTCAAGTTTCTATTGAATCAACAATACCAAATGCCTCACTTAACTTTGCATTTTTGGAAGAAAGATTTTCTATTTTCAAAAAGGTACATACATGCCACAATAGACAATTCTACTGTTTTGATGAGGCTGTATAGGAAGAATTAAGAACATTAACAAACCCTGTCCAGTGCAGTATTTTCATTTGTTTCAAACAGACTGTCAGCAAGTATTCTAATTAAATCAGTATTATTTATAATTAGCAGTTAGAAGCTGTAGCTAATGAAAATTTTAGTACATTTCTTTATCTCTGAAAGCCTGAATCTAGTTTGCTACTGAAATTTTTATAAAGCCTGTAAAGAAATATAAATTGCTACACATAGTGTGTTTGTAATCCACTGAGTTTTGTGCACCAAAGGTTTATGGAATCATAAAAACATACAACTTTGCAAGAAATTTCAAGAAAACCAGAATCAGAAACTGCATGAGAAATTAATTTTAAAAGTGGTCTCTGCTAGCGACATGATAAATCAGAGTGTCACTGTCTCCACTGTAGCCCAAGTTAACAGCTGAACAAAACCTTTTTCCTAGGCTGAATTCTGACATTAGGTCATAATTAAGAGGAAAATGGGAGAAGAGGAGATGGGCAAAAAAGAAAATAAAAAATAACATCTCCTCTACCAAGACACAGTACTCAACATTAGAAACAAAGCTTCCATCCCCCTACCCCCTGCTCTCTGGATGACTCTCGTATTTGTAAGAGATGAGCTTTAAAAGGCTTAGGGCTTCTACACTGTTTTTTAACTCTAGCTCAGCCTTCAGTCCCTTTGCAACCCTTCCCCTGCAACGAGCCAAAATAACCCAGGGTTGAAGCAGTTTATTCCTCTTTAACTTCCTGACTTCTGCCTCAGAACACAAGTCTAGCTCTCCCGACCTCACAACTGACTTTTGCCTTCTTCGTGCACTCCCACCCACGGATTAGGATTTGCAGCTTCCTGCACATACAGTCCAGGAACAGCTCCCTCTTCACATTGCTCATTTACACCCTTCTTCCAGTCGCAGGCAGTAGCAGGACCTGACTACAACAAATGAGATCTCCACAGTGCTGCCAAAGACAGCCACTGGGCTACAACAGCAGCACGAACAGCAGCACTTTATATAATACCCTGTGCCATGAAATGGTGTCAGACCTTGAGGGTTGTATCTGAACTTCGACGTGGAACCCAAGCACATTTCCAGTCTGGTCTCACTGCTTCTCCTTTGGCTCCTTCTCTGTTTTATTAATGCAAGATTGCACATCTGCGTCTGAGTTTCACCTCAGTCCTATTAAGATCTCAGCAGTTACTGGTTTTGACTGTACCAGTATTGGTATGCACCAAACATGGTAAAAACAGGAAGGCACAAAAGAGTTGACCAAAGGCTTTCTGGAAGACAGGGAAGTAAGGGTCATATCAAAAATTTTCTTTCTAAAATAGGTTTTTTTGACTGTTAATGCAAGTATTGTCCACACCTAAAATGTGGTACAAGCATGCTGAACATCAGTCGTCTCTCTGTTTCCACACTGTACTGATAACTGGGACTATCTGAATAGAGTTAAATTAAGAGATGAGGATAAATATGGCACATTTCAAGCCAAGAAGTCTGATATTTCATAGTCTGATTAGAAACATCTGAGTAAACACAATTCTTTGTGTGTCCTCCCATGGCCCTAAGACAGGGACTGTAACTATTACTTAACCATTCTTCGCTTTCTTAGATACTATCATCCTTACCGTGCACTGGTGTAAAACATATTAAAATATCCAAACGCCTAATTACAGAATTGTCACTGTCATTTGTTTAAAATTCTCACTGAGCAGCACTGAAATTGATTTTTACCTATCTGTATTCAAGTACCAGTGAGGTGCTCTGCCTGCCTCAATACCCTTTACAAGGAACAGGAGACAATTCTGGATGCTGCTATCAATGGCCCTACTCTTGTGGAGTCCAAAAGTTCATTTCACACCCTTTGCAGCCAGTGAACAGGCTTGAATTCAGCAACCACTAAACACAACCACTTCAGTGGGGGAAAAGAATTTTTTTTCAACTAAAAAAACCCTACATAACCATATTATAAACACTAATTCATACATTCCTCTTTAAAGCAGATGCTACTCTATTTACAAGGCTTTTCTCTGTTACAGAGATCCTCTTAAGATTCTGTTATTTGTCCATTCCCTACATTTAAATTTAAATTATCTGCCAAATTTTTACTTTTTTTTTTTTCTTTAAAGGCTTCTTAATCATCCTAGTCTCCCCATGCTGCTCAAAAGATGCAAATTATATGAAAATTTTATTTGGAAAAAGATAATACAATGTTATTTTGTACATATTGTACGTATTGTGCAAATACAATATGTATTTGTACATATTGGGCATCTCAGAAAATTTTTTTCTATTATAAAAATAAGTTCTCGAGTTTGTTTCTGTTCTTTTTGTTGTTTGGGGGTTTTTTTGGTGTTCTGTTTTTTAAAATTTTTATGGTTTATAAAGCCTAATTCTGATCTCAACTTATTTAGCTTATATTGAGAAATTCCACCTTAAAACAGGAGAGTTCCTCTGTTAGCCCTTTCAAAGCATATCACCAATATGTCATACGTGCTACCCACACAGGCACACAGAATTACTAGATTCTTTCCAACACTGATTAAAGTTCAAATTAATTTTAAAAAGTGCATCCGTATTTTCGATCTTATTCTTGCCTAGCATTTCTAGAAAACACTACTGTCATGGTGACTTGTTTTGAGCCAGGAATGTACATTAAATGATTCAAATAAAGGGGGAGTGGGGCGAGGACAACAACAAAAACCCCAATGATCTGCACTGCTGAAAGGGACATCTCAGGGTTACAGCTTTTCGGGATTTGTCCATGGTGCTGACCGGGTTTATTATTACTTAATTAAAGTTTTAGCAGGACCTAACCCTTTTCTTCCTCCTCATGAGCAGGCACAGTATTTCCACAACGTAAAAAAAAAAAATCCACCTCCCCAACACCTGTATCTCAGAGAAAGCTTACCTAAAGAATGTGCAGCTGTGGTTTTGGAGCTGAAAAATCGACCAAGTCCAAGGTCTCCAAGCTTTACTACCCCTGTAGCTGTAATGAACACATTAGCTGGCTTTATATCTGGGGGGGAAAAAAAAAAAAAATAGACCGAAAAGAGGCTTTTATTTACAGCTAATATTAACAAAATTTGACCATGCTGTTCAGAAAGAGCAAGTCTGAGATTTTGAATTTCAAATTAACTATTTTAATAGTACAAACATTACCCAAGCAAAAAATTAAGAGCCATGGAAAGTATTTTAAAAAACAAACAACCAACAAAAGTAAACAAAATACCCCCAAAAACCCGCACACCCAAAGAAGCACATACAGGAGTTCATTACTATTTTATATAAGCTATATATAAGGACTTCCATTAGAACTAGAAAACCTCTCATATCTTAACTAACAGACAAAAAATATTTTCAAGAACTGTAAAATATATTTTTCATCACTTTTGCTTACCAGATTACCCACAGTGGCATGATGTTATTTATTTGAAATAGCTAACTGATTCTCTTTAATGGCAGGCATTAAAAAAAAAAAAAGCATGTTTTACTCAGGAGAATGGTTATTTGAACTCATCAATGGAATTGGGCTAATCAAGTAGAAACAAAGAAAAATAATGATGTATACCCCAGACAGTTATTTTTCACAAGTAATATTCAGTTTAAGTTTTAATCCAATCCTTTAGAGACAACAAAGATTTTTATTTTATGATTTTTAACAAGGTACCTATCCTGTTCGTCTTCTAAATAAACTGACCTGATATTTGCTTGGCTAGTGAGCTTAGTTCTTACTCAGCTCAACAGCAACGCGCTGTGGCTCTGAACTTTAAGAAAATCACTTAACTTTGATAAAAGGCAATTATAGTTTGCATAAGATATGGGTACAGTGAAAGGAATAACCCTTCAAACACCAGCACTTTCAGGTTCCCAGTAAAAAGTGACAAAACCTTGTAAGCTTTAGAAAGACAGAAGCAATTATGTTATGCTGCTATCTGACCTAGTTATCAGGAGCTTGGATCACACTTTATGTAACAATCCAACACGGATATCAGCTCAACTTAAAAATAGGTTTAATTGTCATTGATTTTGGTGCATAACCATGGAATTGTTAGATTTGCTGTAGGTCTGCCAGAAGTTTTGAAGGTAGTATCTCAGTTTAAGGAATTTAAACTCATTTTGGTTTTGAGCTAAAATATACTAAACTACTTTAAGTCATAAAAGCATTAAAAGAAGATATTTATACCCTATGGAAAGAATCTGTAATTTATGTCCTTCTCTCTGTATAATTTGCACTTGCAGGTATCTGTACAAATGTAAAGGGAAAAAAAAAAAGAAAAAAGAAGAATCACAAGGGAAAGTTGGGCAGGGGCATCTAAGTTGATCTGCTGAAGAGTGCAACATCTCTAGCTGCAAATCACAAAGCTCAGCAGATAGAGGGACTTTTTGCAATTTCACCTGAACCTAGAAAGACAGCCCATATACAACTTGCAACTCAAAGCCAGAGGGATTTCCAAGGCAAAAAAAATTGTACATCTGAGAAGCAGCTATACTACAATCTGTTTTCTTTGACTCAAGAGTTATAAGGTAAAGTGAAGACAACATACAAGGGACAGCAGTACAGAGGCTTAAAATGGGTAGAAGAGATTTAGTACCTGACAGGGATAGCTGGCAACTACAAGGGCTGTTAGGACACAGTACTTGACACAGAGATTGGAAATAGTGGAGAGGAGTAGAGAAGGGGAGAAAATGTTCACAGCTGCACATAATCCAGTAGATAAGCGAGTGGGAGAAAGGCCTATACATCATCAGAAGGCATGGCAAGAGGCAAATACTTTTGTAAGAAAAAAAGTGCAGGAGGTGAAAAGAATGGACGGATAGTTGTGCAAGAATGTAGGTAACAATACTTGGGAGAGACAACGGGCAAATACAGAAGAAGAAGAAGAACAGGACAGAAAATAAGAGACAGCAAAATTAACTGAGCAAGCAAAGAGGCAGCAGTGGCAAGGTCTCCATCACTTACAAAACTATCACTTGTTTTGAAAACTTGGTGTCACAAGCTACTGCTGTAAACAAATGCCTGTTGCAACAGATATACAACCACACACTCCTGTCACACTTCTCCATTACTTATAAAACATTACAGAAACATACATTGTGTCAGCTGTCAAAATTGATTCCATTATGACTTTATTTGGTGTCATTTGCATTGAACCAGCTTAATTCTCACATAATAAAAGGTTTAGTAAAGACAAATCATCTTTGATCCTATATTACCTCTATGCATAACACGACGAGAATGCATATGTTCCAAGGCACTGCAAAGCTGAACAAAGTACTTCCAAACTGTCCTTTCAGGAATCAATCTCTTCTGTTTCTTAAAATGCTTAAAAAGAAAAGGATGGACACAATATTAAAATTTAAAACTTGCATTAAATGACTGCAAAAAGCAAATATAGAAAATCCTTCATTTAAAAAATGATTACAAGAAGCTCACAACCTAATGAGAAAGGTTTAACAAAATTTCTTGACACAGAAAGCTTTTCCCTTAACTATTAATACACAGAATCATCAACGTATGTGTTTAAGTCAGCAAACACATAGAACCACAAATGACATTAATGAAATATAACTGCTATCCTTAAGAAAAGCTTTACATGATATTTAGCAATCCTCAGTACAGGATTAATGTGGTCAGAATACTCTAGCATTAGAGTAAGTGGCCACAGAACAAGTAAGGGTTAGATATAAAGGTATGTGCCACAGAACTTCCCAAATGAAATACTTCCTTACACCAACATTGATTTCCATATCCTCATTTTCTAAATAGGAAAAAAAAAATAGTAGTGACACACAATCACAAACAAAGATCATCTAAGAAGAGTCGATCAGATTAGTCTTAGAAACTTCTGCAATGCATAAAAGGGGACTAAAGGAACTGTGATTTCTGAAAATTTCACAGTGATCTAGCTCCTGTTCAAGTATTTTCCATCCTGTATAAACAACCATTACCGATCACTGGTAACAGTTCAATGGCCTGTTAAAGCTTACGTGAAACATAATTATGCTCTGCTACACTCATCTCCTTCAACTATTATATTCAGTGACTGGAATAACACAGTCCTCCAAAAATACATACTGAAAACCTGGAATTCAGTCAATGCTAAAACATGCAAGTTTGATCATTATAAGTTTTGCAGCTAAAGGTAAGACGACTGAAAAATTGTTGCTCATTTAGTCTCTCTTTTTAACAGATTTTAAAGTTAAGCACACAAAGAAAATACATGAACATTAATACTAGCAAAATTTTAGATAAAAGCAAAGTACTTCAGCGTACTTTAATAGCATGCCTACACACACACACTTCACACTCATGCACACACTAAGAAAGTTCATACAATAAACATTTATTACTCTGGACAAATAAAAATATTTTCATATATTATGTACCACTGAGAAGTTGACAGCTGCGACTACATATTAGAGACATGCAGGAGTATGAGAAAGGTGTTTTTAAACTAGCTATAGCAAAATGCATCAGTGGTAAAAGGATCATAACATTTCACCAAAATGTTTTTAGTTATAGGGATTATTTCAAAATGCATTTTCATTTAAATGAGGCAAAACATATAAATTACTTATTTAAATAGAATTTTCTCTCAGTCTTGGACTGAATCCAAACAAACCCTGTGTATCTGTTCTCCCCATAGCTGGATTTGCATATCAGAGGATTGTTTGATGTCAACAGGAAGATGGAGACCAGGTTTCTTTTCATTTAAAAACAAATACACAATACATGTAAGTATGTACACATGAAAGCATATTTCCTTGATTTAAAATGCATTCTGAAATTATCATAATTATAACTAGGTACTTTATCTAAACATTTTGAATTACTATTTTTTTAACTCAAATTTAAGTACAAGCAGTGATGAAACACCATTCACCAAATGTCTGAAATGGGAAGATTTTCCATTACAGATTCCCATTCTGATGTACTTAAAGCGCATCAGTGTACTTTCAAAATATTTATGTACAAGTATTCTTTTAACATTTTATTCATTTGCCATCTCTAACACTGTAGCTGATTATACACTACAAAATCGGCTTCAGTTCTTACAGTGCAAGCATGCAATATAATAACAGTTTAAGACATAGTTTCGTTCTACTGAAGGCATTAATAATTTTGCATAATAGCTTCTCTTCCTGAAAGCATCAATATTATTAACCTTGCAGAATTCATCCATCTAAAGGGGATGCAAAAGAGAGCTGCTAGATTTGCTAACAATGGTTAAACAAAGAAATAGGCACCATTTTCACTTGTATAGGTTTAAAAATATTCCAGTATCTTTAAAATATATGCACTGAACATTGTTTTCTGTAGTAATTAATTACACCAATCTTCCATCAAAATACACATTCTCCATGTTTTCTTGGGCTGCTGTCCAGACAAAATAGTGATGAAAAGCCTCCACTACCAAAAAAAGATTGATTTTGAAAAACTAGCTATTGAAACGACTTGTATGTTTCTAGGAAAACAGTCCAGCAGGCAGTGTTAATTCTGAGAAAAGTCAGTAAGGAGAAGGAATCCCATACCTGTTTAGAACCTTGCCTTCCTAACACAAAATATAAGTTGATGGAAAACATGGTCAAACCTATTTTATGACAAACAGTACAGTTAAATTCATATAGCACATATTAACCATATTCCAAGCAGGATCCTTCTCTCCTCCATTTTAAAATAGTCCACAATGCAAAACGCAGTTCTTACGCTTGTGCGTTTTGCCCCCTTCCTGCAGGGAAGCCAAAATGCAGAAGATACGATGCCAAAAGAATAATTTATAACCTCTGTTGTAGCAGAGTGTAGTAGCACCACAAACAGTTAATATGGAAACTAACTCACTGCCTAGTGCTGTAATGTCTCAAGCATCCTAAGGGCCACATAATCAAGTTAACTCAATACAGTTTTCTCCCATTGTATACATGTTGCTACTACCTGCCCAAATTTGACCTCAAAGGAATATAGCCTGACAGACAGCTTTCTAAAGTACTCCCATTTTCAACATTTTTACTATTCTGCTTCTTCCACCTGTCTGAGGCTCAAAGGACAGTCCTGAGGCCCCTCAGACCACTGACCTTCTAGGATGACATTAAAAAAGCCAACATAATCCTGTTTGAGGTGAAAGATCAGTCTCAACATAGTTGAAACTGAAAAAGGGGAACTGCTTGTGCATGTGCATTCAAAATTTGGGCAGTGTTGCAAGCTAGTGTTTTATCACGTAAACTGAGAATACCAGGCATGCTCAGGCACCACTCTCCCAGCAAGAATTATTTGCTTCAAAAAGCCATATCCCATGAAATTTCCATCTCTGTCTTTGAGAATGGAATCACAAAAAAGTACTTTGAAGAGTTTTCACAATGTCAGTACAGATAAAACTGCAATTCAGTCATTTAAGGCAACAGGAATTTTTTGTGGTCATAAATTTGCTATTCAAATGCCTTAAGGAGCTTTAAGGTAGGCAGGTTGTATCATCAGTTCATCTTCTCATCCCTTTTTACAGAATGACTGAGCAGTTTCATTATAGGAAAACAGAACTCAACTATTTTTCTCTAATGAATTGCTAAAAGAAAAATTAAATATTCTTCAAATGTTTCCATCCTAGTAAAGTTAAATATAGCTGCCCTGCACCTAAATAGCATATGCCATTCAGTTTCTTGGAGGCATAAAAAAAAGTAAAAGATAAATAGGGAGAAAACTTGAAAGCCAATATAAAAGCATGGGATTATATTACACTGAGTTTGTAAAGATGATGCTTTACAAGTCAAATTCTGAAAGCAAAACTGAGAGCAATTAGCAAACGGTCTTATCTAGGCTTAACAAGCACCATTCAGAGAATACTCTTAAAGGATATATGCAGGACTATGTTTGGCTTTTATACTAAAATCAAGGATTTTCTGCAGATGAGTAAAGAACAGTGAGCATAGGTGATTTCAATACAATTCGGGATTTCAGATATGACTGCCTACGTCTCAGTAACCATGCTTGGAAAACATTTAGCATTCAGTTCTTACATTAGACACTAGAGAATTTTAAAGGTGTGATTTAGCCTGGTTTAGACCTCACTGAATAGGACAAAAAAAAAAAGTAATAAAAAAGATTAAAAAAAACAGTGAGTGTTCAAGAGACAAACTGGACTCTAGAAAACAAGAAGTTTATGAACATCTCTTCCAGAAAGATGATAAACTGATAATCTACACAATTTTGCAGAGTCATTATTTAAAAAAAAAAAAAAAGTCTGTGAAACTGTCAAACAAGCCCACCTGAACATATACCTGTGCATGCTCTAGGCTAGAGTTGCCTTCTGAAAGGGAGAACTTTGGGGAAAAGTAAAATGAGAATGATCAATGCCTTGCTTTAAATAGATTCCTTTTCCTGTCTTTCATGTTTTAATTAAGATCTTGATCACACCTGTTCTGGTGACTTCAATTCTGGCTTACAAAAATGTAAAGGTTTTGGTGTTCGGTTTTTTGTTTGGTTTTGTGGTTTTTTGCTATTGTTGTTTGTGGTTTGGGTTTTTTTTTTTTGGTTGGTTTTTTTACATTTTATTGCATAGACTTATCAGAACACAGTGATTCAACAGCCAGATACTTGTGGGAAGAAATCTGAACTTCGTCACGAGGAAATTGATACAGAAAGGATTATTACAAGGATCTTCTGAGTAATGAAGTTCTTGGCCATTTCTGTCTCTTTTTCTTTGGGCATCTTTTTTTAATATGGACTAGGCAGAAAGAACGGAGAGAGGACAGAGGAGGTCAGGCAGCTGACCACAGAATTATGGAAGTGCAAGCAAGAGTTCTCACTCAGTGAATAATACAACAGAAACAAAACAGAAGTAGCAAGGCCATGCAGGATCAAAAAGATAGACCAGTGAAGATGGACTTCAACATCTCTACATTTCAGAGTCAAGATCAGTGACTCAAGTATATAGAAATGAAGCTTCTGCAGAAGTCTTACTTTCTATTTAAAAGGCTGTATAATTTTAGTAGGAAAGCAGTGTCCTAGAAGCTTTGTCTGGCTCTGTTCATTCATTAATTCAGCTGCCTATCTCTTCAGACCGTGGTAAGTTTTCTGCCGTTCTTCCTTGCTTTCTATGCAGAACAAAAATAGAACTTTCCACCACATCTTGATTCATTCATTCAATTTGATCACAAGGTGATGAGATTTGCCTACATTTCAAGAACAGCAGCTGTCTCTTAGCTGTAAAAACAGCAAATAAAAAAAATTCCAAACTATTTGGCATCTACAAACTGAACACAGAGAAAGTAACAAGTACTTGGCCAATGAAGTAACTAATAACAATATTTTTTTTTAAATATTTATCTGGT